ATCCAGGAGGCAGAGATACAGATGATCACGGTTCAAATCCTGCCTAAGCAAATAGTGTTGCAAGACTGTGTCTTTAAAAAACCCATCACAAAGAAGGGATGGTGGAGTGGCTCAAGGTGTTTGCCCTGAGTTCGAGCCCCAGTGTCACAAAAAAAAGTTTCTTTGATTTTTTAAAAATGTGCACAGGTTTATTTGAATTAACCCTGTAAAATATCATAAAATATCTGGCATATTAGGAAGCTCTTTCTGCATTCTGTTTTTAAATGAGAATAGTACTTCATTATTTTCCCAAATACAACCCTTAAAATGTATAGTTTTAGGCTTTATCATGAAGGAATTCTTCAGTGCACTCTCTTCAGTATAAGCCTTATTCCTACTTAATAGATTTTCATATCACTTTTTCCTGACACTTGTGTAATAGCTCTCTTCCTTCAGCTAAAAGAAGGATATGAGAGCATATTGTTTAGTCAAGATACACTATTATTTAATTGACATAAGAGGCAAAATAGAAAAGTACATGAAGTAATATAAACAGCACTTTAGATAATACAATTCTCCCTCCTCTATAAAATATGGAAAACAAATCTTTACTTTGTATGGTGGATATAAGGAAGTATTGCAAAAATATTTTAAATTGTCTGGTAGTGTTAATTGTGTTTCTCAATATCATGAATATTATATCCACCTGCAGATGTTACAAAATACCTAGATACTTTGGTTGCATACAGAAGCAATTTAATCAAATTTCAACTGCACTTGAAGTTACTGTATCATTTCCTTAAACCACAGTTCAAAACAACTCTCTTAGTATATTTCCTAACATTTAGAAAATGTTCCATGATGTTAACTATTATTATTATCAAAAGTAACCACTACATATATTAGTGTATAAACATTTCATAATATTTGAATAATAATTAATTTTACATAGACTTGAAAATAACTGATGAAATTTCCATTTTTGATAGCTCAGCTGAATTTTACTCACCTCCACACATTTCACACGATGCAGTGGTTTTAACTAACTTGGATAAATTCTCTCCTTCATATTTTCATGACAGTATTGATTCATTTATTAACGAGGAGTCACCAAAATCAAAACTTTCCTAAAAAGTACTTAAACATCTTCATGCAGTATAAAAACAATATGCAATATCCTTAAAGTTACTAGTTTACCACAAAAAATTATTTTAAGTCTCCCAGTGAAATAAATATACCTACCTCAAATGCTTCCCTCAATAATCATTAAATCACATTAATTATATGAATAAATGGGATATACTGTAATATATTAGCAATGTGTATTGATTATATTCACCAATTAATTTTTTGATGTCAGCATTTTTAGAGGCAAGGATGTTATTTGCTTCTAACTTTATTATAAAAATACTTTCAAAATTCTTGTGCTTTCTTTCAGATTACAAAGTTGAGAATTTCTGAAGGTCAATGAGATATAGTTCCATGATTTCCACTTGGATATACTCAATTTTTAATTAATCACCTACTTATTTTTTCCCAAAAAGAAGCTTGTCATTATCACCTTCATCCTCTTTTCCTGAAAAGAATATATACTTGCATTTTTATCAATAATAATCCCCTTTAATCACAACAATCACTTTCCTTTTGTATAGGAAATAAAATTTGCATTTGGCCGCAGAAGAGAATTCCTAGGGAAGGGAATCAGAACATGAACATTTATATATATATATATATACATATATATATGTTTATATATATATATATATATATAAACATATATATATGTTTATATATATATATATATATATAAACATATATATATGTTTTTATTGTTTATGTTTATTCATTTAGTCATATGTGCACAGATTATTTGGGACATCTCTCCCCCCTGCCCCTTACACCTCTCTCTCCTCCCCACCCCCTCACTTCCAATTTTGTTGAAGAGAAGACATAAGAGATAATAATAAAGACATAGAATTTTTGCTAGTTTGAGATAAAGATAACTATACAGAGAGAGTCCTAGCATTGCCTCCATGTACATGTGTATTATAACCCTAACTGGTTCATCTCTATCAGACCTCTTCACACTTCCCAGTCCCTTTCCCATAGTGGCCTTTGTCAGTGTAAGATTACTTTATTCCCTCCTCTACAGTGGGCACATCAAACACTTTCAAGTTTTATGTTTCCTACTTTTCCTTATTCCTCCTGTATACGTCCAACCCCCTTAGCGTGCCAGAGAACATGAACTTATTGTCCCCATCCTGAACCTTCTTATATATGCAGAAAGTGTGTAAATCCACATTTTTCTTCTCATACAGATAAATGAAAATTGAAATAATAACCCAATCCACACAATACGTGTGCACACAGAGTAAGTTTGAAACTTAACAAAAATTTATAATTTTTTCAAAAATAGTGTCTTTACTTTTCCAACAGCTAGATCACTGATAAACATCAGTTTTCAAACTTCACTGGGGCATAGGTTGATATTATATATATATTATATCCTACCCAGAGGTATAAATTTTAAATTCATCCTTCCTTTTGTACCTAATGTCTTTATTTCACGAGGAAAATATCAGTACTAGGGCTTGAATTCAGGGACATCATCTTGAGCCACTCCACCAGCCTTATTTTTGTGAAGGGTTTTTTGGGATAGGGTCTTGTGAACTATTTCCTTGGACTGGCTTCTGAACTGCGATCCTCTTGATCACCACCTCCTGAATAGCTAGGATTGCAGTCATAAGACACAGGTTCCTGGCTATCTTTGAATAAGTAATTGATATAATGTGGTTTAGTAGATTATGCAGCCAATTCGTCTGTGTCATGGACATAAGCAAGAGCTGATTTTTCTTTCTCTATTTCCAGGAGACATTCCAGTACAGGTCAAAGATGTACACAGAAAACCATCAAGTGTATTGAAGTTAAACTGACTATGGACAATTACTGTGAATCAATAAAGTCTATTTAATTGGTAACACATTTTCATGCTCATAAAAAATGGTACACAAGGTGAAGGTCCAGGTGAACCTTAGATATGGGGTAAGCCATTTTAGACTTTCATCACATTCCAAGTTTCCAGTGTTTTGTGATAATTGTATTTATCAGTAAACTCAATGTTTTCTTGGTGGCTGAATTATTGATGTACAAAAAACCACAGTGAGTAAATTTTTTTCTAAAATCATAATATCTGGAATATATCTTGTGGAGATGGGTGTTATTTTTCCTGTTTTTATTAAGCAGTATCAGCACAGAGATGCAGTGATTGCAACATCTTGTGTATGCTGCATCACGTCATATAGCAGCTTAAAATGCTCATTTTCTCATTCTCATCTCAGGGCACCACCACCTCTTCTGCTGTGGACAAATGGAAATATTATTTCCTATACAACATGAATTCTTTTTGAGTTATTTTTGGAAGAGTTGTTACTAGATGGACCTCAAAGTTATTAGCATGGTACATATTAAGGAACAGAGGATGTAGGTCCTTAAGCCCATGACTGCCTAGTGCCCAATGAAGACTCAGACTCTGTTCTCAGGATCATTATGAATGCAGGCTAAGATAACAGCTTCCTGAATACCAGTGGAAGTAGATACCAGTGGAATGAGGGAAACTTACATGATGTGTGCTGGACATGGAACAGTCAAACTGAAGTGTATGAGGTGTATCTTATTATTTACAATTGTATGCCCATGCAGGCTTAACTGCCATATCTCATCATTAGCCAGGTTGGTCCAGGTAACATAAAGTAATGAAATGAAAATAATATTATGAAAAACAGGTCACACTAAGCCGAGTTCACATACAAGAAAGGGAGGGTAAAATAAGGAAGTTAAGAAAGTGAATATGGTTGATATACTTCCTATACAAGAATGAATATAGAATCTTTAAACATGTTGAAATCAACATAAGAAGGGGACTAAAGTATAAAGGAGAAAAATACAGGAGATGAACCAATTCAGGTTCTAATACATATATAGATGGAAATATCACAAGGAAACTCCCTGTCTAGATTTCTTAAACAAAATTGTCATTTCTTTTCTTTTACAATCAGAGAACAGATCAGGTGACTGTAGCTCATCATCCCTATAATCTTAGCTATGCAGGAGGCAGAGATCAGGAGGATAATGGTTCAAAGCCAGCTGAAGGCAAATAGTTCATGAGACCCTCAAAAAAACCCCTTCACAAAATGGCTGGTGGAGTGGCTCAAGGTTTACACCCTGAGTTCAAGCCCCAACACCACAAAAAGAAACTAAAAAAATAGGACGGTAGAACAGGTCCTGTCTAAGCATGTTGGTACTAGTTTGAGGAGGAGGGTGTAGGCGAGTTAAAATGGTATAAATTCTGTGTACATCTGTATGTAAATGGACAAGTGATATTTGTTATATTTGTTGAAACTGTTCCAGGAATGAGGGGAGAGGGGATAAAGAAGAATGAGAGAGGGGGTGAATTCAAGTATGATAAATTTGATATACTATAAGAACTTTTATAAATGCCACTGTGAACCCCAAGAATTACAATATAAAAACGAAAAAGAAAACCTTTCACATATTAATGTGGGAAGAAGAGAAAGTGAAAATAAAGGTTCACAAAAGTTTCTGCATTTTTCCTCTACTGAGAAGGAGGTTCATATGTAATATTTATTTGTTTCATTTCATTTATTCTAAGACAAATTTGACTTATATATTCATTCATATCATGGTAAAATTAAATTTAAAAATCTTTATATACTTAACAGTTTTTAAGTGTAGAGCTCAGTGGCATTAATTATACTCATTGCAGTGCATACATCAACATCAATTTCCAGATTTTATCTTCTCAAATAAAACTTATGCCCCTTACAAGAAATAACCTACACATTCCTTACATCCTCCATCCTACTTATCCACATTCTATTATTAAACATGCTTAGAAATTAAAGTACTTATACAACAAAAATAATGGATACAAGAAGAAATTTAGTGGGCTGGATGCTTATTTTTCCCTTTTCCATGCAACATTTAAACATTTTGCCACAGTTCTAAGATTTGATGGTTCTCACATGGATTCTACTAAGAGCACTTTCAATGTCCCTGTTCCTCAGACTACAGATAAAGGGATTCAACATAGGGATGACCACAGTGTAAGTGATTGAGGCCACCAAAACATTTCTAGGATATTCTGAGAAAGCTGATCCAAGGTACACACCAATACTAGTCCCATAAAATAAACAAACAACTAACAGGTGAGAACCACATGTGGAAAAGGCTTTAAACCTCCCACCTGATGATAAAATTTTTAGAATAGAGGCAATAATTTTACAATAAGAGAAAAGTATCCCTGAGATAGGAACAAAACCAAATACAACACCAGTAAAATACTTGACAATGCTACTGGAGAAGTTGTCAGAACAAACAAGATTTAGGAGATGAGAAGGGTCACAGAAAAAATTGGAAATTTCCACATCTTTGAAGTAGGGAAAATGTAAGGCAAACAAATAGTGCAGCTGGGCATCCAAAATGCTAAACAAAAAAGACACTAAAAGTAAGAATCCACATAAGTGATGGTTCATAATGACAAAGTAATATAGGGGGTGACAGATGGCCACAAATCTGTCATAAACCATCACAGTCCTAAGCATATCATCCATCTGTGTCAGGCAGCCTTCATAGGTGATTGTCCTACTGTCAATTTGGATGTCCACAATCATCTTTGTGACTATGGTGGAGATGAAACAGATGTCAGCCAAGGACAGGTTGGAGAGGAAATAGTACATGGGGGTGTGGAGGTGGGAGTCTAAGTTGACAATCGGGATAATGAGTAGGTTCCCAAGCACGGTGATCAGGTACATGGTCAGGAATAGTCTAAAAAGTAATGGCTGCAGTTCTGGATCATTTGAAAGACTCATGAGATGAAATTCCGATACATATGTTAGATTTTTTTCCTTCTAAATTGCTTGGACATCTTTGAAAATAAGAAAAAAATGGTGAAATAAAGAAAGAAAATAATATATTGCATATAGTTACCTAATGAATCCTGAGTTAAATTACTGGATTTCATAAAACTTTATCAATATTTTCTCATTTGTGATAAATCCAATATTCTTGGAACTCTTTCATCATTGATTTCTCTGTTCCTTCAACATATACCTTCTTTGAATACACCCAAATGAATAATTCTAGAGAACCAACAAAATTAGAGATAACAAGGCCTTGGTCACAGAAAATACAGCCTAGTCTTATATGAAATATGTGAATAATAGCATTTCCCATTTCATAAATCAATCATTATAAAGAATTTAATTAAAACCAAGGTTTAATATTTCTAATACTTACAATATTCCTGAAAATCCTACAAGAGATAGAGCTGTGTTATTATCTGAACACTAAATTATAGCTGATAACTTAAAAGCATGCTATGTGCCAGTTATTGCCAAAGGGTTTTTCATGACTCTTCAGTTACTGGTTTCCTTCCTTTATGCATGTAATTATGCATTCAAATTTGGGCTGTGCGAGTGCTGGAGTTTAGACTGTAGTGATAGAGCACCTGCCTAGCAGTCATAATGCCTTGAGTTCAAGTACCATAACCTCCAATAAAAGTATTTTAAACAATACTCTTAAACTTAAGAGAAGGAAGAGGGGGATGAAAATATAATGGAGAGGGTTCAGATGTTCAAAATACCCTGTATGCATGTATAGAATTATCACAATGAAATATCCATGTATTATTAATGGATGTTAATTCAAAAATAAAACAAGTATAAAACTACATAAAAATTAGGGAATTTTAAGTAGTATTTTATATATAATTCCTTTCATTGACTTTGTTAGATTTCAAGCTTTATGAATATTGTTCACCTAACTGTATGTAATCATGACATTATTTATTGCAAGTATGTGTTAGTGTACACTTCACTAGAAAATGAGTAAAATTAATGTAATGCTAAGAAAAACATAGGAATTATTCATTTTTACAGATATTGTCAACTTTTACAGATGTTGTCATAGAAACCCACTAATAAATCTGTTGCAAACACAGATATTTTTTAATGTTTTTTACATTTTCTATCATTTTTAATTTTTTTTGCATTTTACATTATGTAGTGCCCTTGTAAATTTCTTTCATGTTTATCTGCTAACAAACCATATCATTTACAAGTGGACATTAACACCATGCACAACTCCAAACTCAAGGTTTGAGCCCTGAATTTCATGGCCCAAGTCAATATATTGCCCAATTTTAGTGCATATCTATTATATAGAATATTTGTTTCATTATGATTTTTTTCATGACACTGGAGTTTGAACTCAGGGCTTCACAGGTGCAAGCTCTAACACCAGTTTGATGTTTTGAATCATGCATATAACATATTTTGACCATATCTAACCCTATTACTCTCCCTTCCCTTTCCCATACAACTCCTATTATTCTCTTCTCTAAGGGTCACCCTTCTAGTTTTACATCATAATTCTATCTGTGCAAGAAAACTTGTAATGTTTTCTTTCCAAGTTTGGTTTATTTCACCTTAACATGATGATCTCCAGTTTCATCCATTTTCCTAAGAATATTATAACTTTGTTCTTCTTTGTAGATGAATAACAACAGATTCATTGTATACGTATATCACATTTTCTTCAACCATTCTTATGTTGGTGAGTACCAAGGCTAGTTTGACAACTTGCTTTTTGTGAATTCTGTGGTGGTAAACATGAGTATAAAAGCAACTTTTACTCTTTTCAGTGTATACCCAGGAGTGGAATATGAAATCTGGACATATAGTTTTTGAGGACACTCCACATTGATTTGCACAGTGCTGGGCTAATTTACATTCTCCAAAGCATTGGTTAAGGGTTGCTTTTACTTCCATAAATGATGACTTTTTTAGTTTCTGCTGCTCCTTTGTTTTTGATAAATAGACTGAGATCAGATGAAATCTCAATGCAATAGTGATATTCATATCCCTAGTGACCAAACTTGAATATTTTTCATATAATTATTGGCCATTTTTCATTTCATGTCAATTTTTCCATGTATAAGGATTGCAGTTCTCTTATTTCAGCAATGGAAAGGCAACCTGGACTCATTATTTTGTTCACTGACACTATAATTAACAAACAGTGCAAAAGAGGAAACTCAGGGTATAGTTTAAATAGACATAGAAGTTTCATTATTTTCAATATGACAAAAATACCTAATTTATGCACATATGTTTACAAAAGTTTTAAAACATTGAGAACTGAGGTGTGACTCAGTGGTAGAACTCTTAATTAGCTTGTCTGAAACCCTGGGACTGATCGCCAGCATTACAAAATAATTGTACACACCAGTTCTTTTAGTGTAATTTATTAATATATTTATCTGGTGATATTTTAAATATCCAGACTCTCTGGCCCAGTGGGATCAACATGTCTGCATGTAAAGTTCTTTCTTACGCCAAGATAAGATCCATTGCCACTGAGTATTATCAGGCATTTAGATAATGGGTCATTAATTTGACCTCATATTGCTGCTAATACAAATGAAAATCACTATGAAATTATGAACAATCAGTAGTATTTGCTATGTAACTAATATTTTAGTGAGATATGAACTGTTACCTCTGAAACTTGAGTGTTTGGTGTAACTACATGATTCCAATCTCCCACACATTCATTCCCCGTAGGATACTACTGTCATGAACATAATTTTTTTCTCAGTTTGTTCACATCCATACTGACTTGTGTTTCACACAGAGTTTCCTTAAGAAATTACCTAGAGAGCCTCTGAAACTCAATCAGTTTTAAACACAACTTGAAATAAATTAGTTTACACCAGCATTTAGGTTTAAGTCTTTGTAAAGTATATATGATTACTTCAAATGACTTATATAATGATCCATATTACCAGAAGTAGAAACATGATTTAACTTGTCTCTGTATAATTAAGACATCCTTTTTAAAATACTGTTGCTCCAATTGACATCATGAATTGAAAATTTCCCCAAATTATGTGAGGGGAAAATGGTTATTTGATTCCCAGGAATAATTGATTCATACTCAGTTGAATTATAAATCATCTGAATTTGTTATCACAAAAAAGCTGTCATTTTGAGCTACGTACACTTTTTAATATGTATCATCAAAAATACCTTGGATATAATTCTGGTAATTGTCCTTTAAAACTTTCTAATAACATATAGGATAGCATTTCGCTTGTCTCTCTTTCTCTGGGGTAGCGATAAGGAAATCCGTAATTTATTCTCCTATAGGGGATATGCTACCATAAGAAAAACGCTTGTAAATCACACCATGACTCTGTGATCATACTGCGTAACAGATAGGGATGGAGGTAGGACAATACCGGCCATCTCCACAACACATATGGTATGCAATCTAGGTTTAGAAAGTTTTAAATATTTGGTCATTATGGTTGCTTAAAATAAATAACTGAATCACTAAGAACATGGTCAGTTTATTTGTGATTGTAGCAGTCACAGGACACTACAAACTTGGAACATAAAAATTGAAAAAGTGTTCAAGTCTAAGTAAGTTTTATCTTCCCACTAGTCTTTGTACCTATTTTTATTTATTTTTATTACCATGAAAATTTCTGCACATATATCTTTCCTAAATGAATGATTTTGATGCAATTTAAATAAGTAAAGGGGCATGCATGAATAAAGTAGAAACAGAAAAGAGATATTTAATCTCTTCATTTCTACAATACACACATATGGTGAAGCCACAATGATTTGGAGAAATTTGGGAACCAAAAATGTTGTATTTTTTGCTTGATAGATTTTTTTTCAGTGTTCATTCAACCCCCACACCCAAACAAGTTATTGGATTAAGAAAATCTGAAATGAAAAGTAGCCAGTCTTCATCAACATTCATATAATATAGCAAAGACAAAAATAGAGTATCTCCTAATTGCGAACTTCAGCTCCCAGAATCTTTTAGTAGAATCCAGAAGTTTAACTTTATCTGCAATATTAAAAATAATACTACATTGTATTTATCCTTGTATTATATATACATTCATCACCAATTTGTAACATGGCAAATCTCTAAAACTGTTTTGTGCTTCCTATATAAGGGCGTCAAAAAGATATCAACTCAGCTGATAATGATGGGTCTCTGAAATAACAAATCCTGGTGCTTTTCATAGAAACATTTTCACAAGCAGAATTAAAAATAACTTGTCAGTTTCTGAGTAAACTGTACTATTTTTACTGTTTCCCAATCATAAGAAAATTTTCAGACACAAATACAAATGTCATAAGCATAGATACATCTCAAATACATATTAAAACTGTTCTCCATTTCTTAAGTAGAAAGGAAATCGCAATTTTACTTAAGGCTCCTTTTGAGATGGAGTGAGCAGATTCCAAGAAATGTAGAGAATGTGCCAAGCTACACAGACATGCTGGAGTAGGGGAAAGAGAGAGGTCTATGCTGAGTGATTTTCTTTCATTTTTGTGATCTTTTTGATGAGCTAAGCCAGTCTTTTTTATCAGTTTTACACCAGATGGTATACACCGCTCTATTATGTTGCTTTTCAGGAACCCCCCAAATGGAAGACCACAGTGAGCAATAGATCTTATCCTGTAGCGACACTGATGAGACAGTGAAATGGCTAGTTGCTTTATCATATGACAACCTAACGGATGCTCCTGTCCAGTTTCCCTGTGAATGTGATCAGGCTGCTTATTGAAAATGTGCCTTCAAAATTTTTAGTATACTAATGGTATAAGGAGGTTTTATTTTGATATTTCCT